GGGCTGCTCCTCAGTCCTGGGGCAGTCCCTGTGCTCAGCCCACCTGCAGCCCCACACCAGAGCCAGGGCTGCCTTCCCACGCTCCAGCCCAGCCCAGCACCTGCTGGGAACATCTCCCAGGGGAAGGAGGGCTCCCAGCTCCCTGTGGAGCATCCCACCTGTGGGTGTTGCTTGGCACGGGAGCAGCCAGCCAGGTTTGTTCTGTTCTCGTGGTTTTGGGGCTCTCTGCCTGTGTGGGGTCGGTGCTGCTCCAAAGGAGGAGTTCCCCACTGGGCTGTGCCTGGCTGCAGCAGCCCATGCTGTTACCTGTGCATGGCTCAGGCCAGGGCCAGGCTCAGTTTGTTCCATCCCATGCCTTGTCCCACCCATTGTCTTCCCTTCCCATGAGGAAGCAGATTTCTCCCCCTGAAGGATGGGCTGGGGCTGTGCCCAGAGCAGAGCAATTTCCCTGCTTTGCCTTGAATAACCATTGCCTCTGGCTTTTCACAGTTATCCAGGGCACAGCAAGCTGTCCCAAAGTGCTCTGCAAACGAGACATGGAAAACGCTCCAGCAAAACCCCAAAATGCTCCCAGGCCTGGGACAGCAGAGAGCTGCTCCCTGAGGGCACGTCCTGCCTGCCAGCTGGGAGCCAAATGTGGACAGCAGTGTGCACACACTGGAGTGTTGGGGCAAAGGAGGCCTTGGCCAGGCTTCCAATGGAACTCTTGAAAAAATCTGAAAGCTCCCAAACATCTGCAGGAGATTCAGCACTCCCTTCCAGTTAAGATTGATGGTAACTGAAAGCCAARGCCATTATAAGTCTGTGTCATTTATCTGGGGAATGCAGATTCATTATACAGACAGGACTTTATAATTTATACCTTTACAAGATAGTGGCACATTTCTACTTAGGAGAGGAGGGCTGTGGGTCTCTGACAAGTGTGGGTCTCTGCAAGTGTGCCATGAGATCAGGGAGTGCTGAAATGTCACCAGCCAAAGCGCTGGTGCAAATGRAAAGACTCATGGATGAAGAACAGGCACAGGCTGCAGGGAACTGTCACCCCTGCAATCATCAAATATGCCACTTGGTAGCAAGCAAAATGATCCATCTGGCAAAGCCTCGCATCATAAACCCTCCAGGAAATGATTCTGGAGCAAACCTTCCYACAGCAAGAGAGGAGCAGAGAGGGGGAACTGAAACCAGAGCACAAAAGCCTCCCCACAGGAAATCCCCCAGATAAGAAGACACCCAGCCCATCAAGGAGGGTGGATGGGGAGATGCAGTGCTCTGTGAGGTGATACCAGGGTGGATTTCAATGTTCATCAGCCAGAGTTGGCATGGGATCTCTCATAGAAACAGTTTTGTCCCTTTTAAACAGATGAAAAAGAGCCTGACATGATAGAGGTTTGGGCAGGCTGGGCACTTCTAGGGCGAGAGGGTAGAGCTGTGCCTGTCAGGAAAACACATGGTTRATCACCTCTCCTAGAAGCACCTTGCTAATGTCATTATCCTTCAAACCCTGTTTCCTGCACCTAGCTTGCCTTGTATCACAAAGAAGCACAAAGTGTTTTAAAACTGAATCATGGAATCATATTAGTGTGGTCCATTTGTTAGCACAGGGATGTGACAAAGGCCACAAGAGAGRCAGCTCCCTCCTGAGAAGAGAGCATCAGGAAATGAGGCCATTTGAGACTATAAACTGAGCACTACTGACCAAAACCAGAGCATGAAATGATAATCTTCCTTAAGCCATCCAGGATGGGCAGCTCAGAGCCAACCTGAGTCAGACAAAGCACTGTAACATTCAGTGGTCCTTGTTGGATTCTTCCACCAACATGTTTTGTTGCTGTTTGAACAAATCTAATCCTGTAGCATCCACAGTACTTGTGTCAAGAGCTCTGGTGTTACACACACAGTGTGCAAGGGCACATCTCCGTTTATTTCTTTTAACCTGCCCTTTTCTGGCTCTTATATTAGAAAAAAATAGCCATTATCCTAATTTGTTTCCCCTGTGCTACCTGTGGCTTTACAGGCACAGCCAGCATCTCCTTCCCTAGCTGGGAAGCAGGGATTTCTTTTYATTCTTTTTAGGGTAATCCCTGGTTCTCTTTTTCTCTTTGGAAACAATTAGACCATTCCACACACATGATATTTATGGGGTATCTRTTCCATTCATAGGAATTCCTGATGTTCTTTTTGAGATTTGATGTACTGAATACAGATCTTTATTTCTTACCACGCTGAAATCTCACTTCTGTGTGGTAACACAGAGTCCAGAACCTTCCAGGGTGTCTGATCACTCTGGGATGTTGCTGCAGCTGGGACTTCACGTTCATGAGAGCAGCTATTTAGGGCACAAGGATGGAGAGATGTGCCAGGCTCTAGTGGGAGGACAAAGGGAGCAAAATGCCTCACTCAGAAAATATTAATGGTGCCTGGGCTGAAAYACGGCCCTCTGACACTGTGGAGCTGCAGATCACACAGGCACCTTGGAGCACCAAGCCAAGGGAGATCCCAGTGGGTTTCCATCGCACTAGGGGGACAATTCCCAGATTCACGAGTCACTTTGTGTTTAGCTCTATTTCTCCATCAGCCTGGGCCATTGGCAGTACTGTAACAACTGCATGCCTGGTCCTGAGCCATCTGCACTTGTTGGATGTCTGGTGTTGGTAAAGTGAAGCTCACAGTCAGTTTATTTACAGCCATGCAGGTACTTTCACCTCTGTGCCAAACACTGCACASCTGTGCCTGGTGATCCAGAAATCACTTCCCACAGCTATTTCACATTAACTGCTGCACGGTACCAGGCAGATTTTACCCCCTGCTGGCTGGTGTGGCTGAGTAAGTCCTTCATTCAGCCTCCAACACAGCTCCATCTATCCCAAATGACTCAGAAAATTGTAAAATTGTTGAGATAAGCAGAGAGCTGAATAAGCAAGGGAGCAGTTTTGGGGGGTAGCAGAGTGGAACAGGACTCATGAAGGCAGTGGGATGTGATGAGGGGGTTGTGCAGTAACACCAGTCATGTACCAACAGCCTCCCCAGGTACTTCAACAAACAGAAAAAAACAGAAAACGAGGAATGTGCACGAGGCAAGCTATGGAAAATGAATGGTGACATTTTTTTTTTTTGACCAGTGGGAATAAGGAAGGTGCCCATGAGACACAGAGTGGCAAACTGGTCAGAAAGCTCCTGCAAGGTGGGAGAAGGCTGGAGCAGCTCAGATCTCCAGCTGGTCTTCCTTCCCAGAACTGAGAACAAAGCTGAGGAGAGGGAGGAGGTGAGGACAAAAAAAAGAGGGAATTAGGAAGGGAAGAAAAGAGGGCAGTAAGGACACGAGGGCAGGGAGAAGAGGGCAGTAAGGACACGAGGGCAGGGAGAAGAGGGCTGCCTCTTGATGATGTGTTTATGAATGATCTGCAGCCACGTTTTATTGTTGCTGCCCCAGCCAGTGAGGACAGAGCAGCATAAACACAGGAGAGATTGAGAGCACTGGAGTCATTCAGAGAGTCTATTTTCCACCACACGCCTCAGTTATTCTGGACTATCATC